TATCTCACTCAAATTTCAAAACAACTCTATGGAGTAGATGTTATTATACCAGATTTACAAGCAAACATTGGTAAGCTTAAGAGAGTCTAAAGAATTTGCAGAAATAACTCATCAACATAAGTTGTACAATTAACAATTAACCATGTGTTTGTCTCCCTATTACTAAATTTCCTTTAGGTAATAGTGCCTTTAGTAAGGTAAATACAGAAATAAGGAGTAATTATAAGTTAAAAAGGAAGAAAAATCTTCTATTCAAAATTATACAGTTATTTAAAATCTGTGGACCCAGGAAAATGAGAACAATTTTGTATAGCCATAAAATATTCATTTTTAAAAATTTCTGATTCCCTGTAGTGCTTAGCAATCAGACCCTAAAATAAGAGATGTGTGTTTGCTTTTCAAGCATAAGAAGGAAGCAGTTGACAGTTCAGACCACAGATCACCTGACTAGAATTTGGGTTTAGAGCTGGTCCCAGGGCCAGGAAGAGGTGAGTCTGGCAGAAGGAAGGAAAAGCCTGAGGTTTTCAGTGAGTTTTGACAACTAGAGCAATGAAAATATGCTGCTTTGGGGAAAGTACACAAAGTAAAAGCAAGTGAATTTTAGAGAGCTATTTTTGACTAGGAAAAGGTCTTGGAATTAAAATGTAGAAAGTATAACTTGTCATCCTCTATGTTTAGGATGACCCTGTTTTCTGTTGTGCAGATGATGCCATTGATAGGTAGATGCCTGTTAGAAACTCACAGACATTACAAGCTTGTGAAAGGAAATTTCAGTGACTTAAAGTTTAATCCAAAAGTGTCATGAAATGTAGTGAAATTTATATGTTTGAGGTCACTTGGTCAAATCTTCTGTCTTAACATCTAGAAGGAAAGTCAATCTTCTCCTTTGTATCTGTGGTTCTGCCACTGTTAGAAGACAGTAACCTATTTCAGTATTTTCATTATAGTAGCTCTAATGCAGGGTTATAAATATTCAGCATACAAAGCAATGTAACACCCTACATCTAAAGTTTCAAGTAGACACCAATAATACTTAATTATATCATTTTTTAAATTTAGCCTAGATTGGTTCAGTGCCAAACCTCCTCAACAGAGTACCCCTGACATTCACTAGCTATTGGTACATGTTAGCCTTACAGATGAACCAGTGCCCACACTCCCACCTTTTCTCAAGTTGTAAAGGTAAGAATTCATTTAAAGTCTTCATGATTTCCATGGTTTCAGATGTTCTAACTAGACTGTTACTGCCTCCTGATGTCCACTCAGTATCAAATTCACTCCAGTCTCTTCTTTCCTTATCAGAAGCCATCTGCCTATAATACCTGATTAAGGATCAGTTAGTGTGGTGTTCTGGGACACTCCATTTCAAGCCAGGGAAACATAGCTTTATGTCTTCACTCCTCCACTTACTAATGTTCTTAGAAAAATCATCCCCCAAACCTTATTTTATTTATCTTTAGAGGTTGAGATAATCAGAATATCAAATTCATATTACTCTAGCACTAATAAAATAAGATATTGCATATGCAGTGACTCACAAAATGCCTTCACATTGGATTGTTAGTAACATTAGCTGGAATAACTGTCATTATTATTATACATAGATATGACTCTTGGTGCTAGTGTTTGACTTTCTAAAAAGGAAAACACAGCAGCTTACTAATAAAATGATACTTTCTAAGTCCCTTCTAGAGACTATGTAACTGAGTCCCTACTATTCAGTCTACCTTGAAAGTTTAGACTTTAATCTAATTAGATTAAGAAACTGTTTCAAAGCATCTTCATAATATTCCAGGCATACATTGCACATTTAGGTCAGGAACAAATGGTGAAACTTTAAGGACTCCTTCACTGACACTCATTTTATTAAAGACATTCTTTCTGAGATACACAAATTACTTGAATTTCATTCTGAAACAAAGAATATGTAGGTTAAAGTTGACTCAGTCAGAACAAAGTGGGACTCTATAACTCAAATTTGCATTTTTTAATCACTCAGACTGTGAAGAACAGTGTCATCTTTACAGAATCTGATCCTTGAACACAGGTTAATACACAGGAAGAGCAAGGATTGACATCCTGCTTTGCAACTTAAAGTGCAAAAGTCATCTCCAAAGTCCTACAGCTAGTAAGATAAGTAACCGTTTCAAAGAGGTCACTCTACTGCCTGCCTCTTTGATTTTTATGGTTCTGGGCTCTGGTAACTCATCCAGGCTCATTTTGGCAGTGAAAGTGCAATACTGTGGCAGGGTGCCCCTCTCTATGATGGTGTGAAATAAAGGGAACCTGGACTTTCATCTGCGGTATACCTGTAAGTGGTACCACCTGTCATGACTCCTGAAACTACTCAGTGTCCACTCTGCTGAGCTGCCCCACCTGTCTGGGCATTTTCATGGGCAAATTCACATAAGTATAAAGCATGATTTAGGCTACCTTGCCAAGGACAGCGTCCTTCCTCTCCTTGCAGTGTCAGGATGGTTTTCCTCCGCAGGAAACCTCAAGAGGAGCGCTTTATGCAGAGAATATAGCTCCCCTAAGTAGGAAATCCTGGGTCAGTCTCTTTAGGGACTGAGAATATCTGAGCTCATGAGTCAAGCATTCTGAAGTACCTTGGTTCAAACCTGCATCTAGGGAGTCAGGAATCCCTTTTGTATTCTGTCACTTGGTCACACCAATTTTTTATGGGGCTTATCTTCATTTCCATATTTTATATCCATTAATTTTCTATAATTGTCTTAAACAATGGTCTTCATAGTTGAGATGTATGCATATATATATATATATGCATTATATATAATATATATGAATATATGCATATGTGTATTCTCATTTTTCACTCACATTTCTGAATTGATAGTGCTTTTTGCTTTATTATTCCATTTTAAGTTGTATAACATGTTGACATCTAAATGTTTTCCTGACCTGTTTTGTAGTCTACTTCTGTATTAAATCATAACAAGAGAGGTTAAGGAAACTGCCCTGAAATTAAATAACTCATTTAAAATTCTGTTTTATATAATAATTGTGTGACTGTGTGTATGTTACTTACCTACCTAATGAACCAAATATAGTTCCTAGAGCATTTGTAAGGGGTCAAGAAATGTTAGATGCTGTTATTAATAGTCATATTACCTCTTCTTTCATAGTGTTTATATGATTCTTAAGCCATATGGAATTGTAGAGTTTCTTCCCATCCATACCCTATATAAGAAGCCAATTTTTCTCAATAGTAGTGTTGTGTACCTATTTATGTAAAAAAAAATTATGTACTTACTTTTGTTCCTTAGTTTTTGAATATATTCATGTTGTAAATTTTTGTTTACTCAACTGAGAAATAAGATGGTTTCTTTTCCAACTTTGAAAATACTGCTTAACTCAATATATTAATGTTATTAGATAATAACATTATATATAGATAATATATGTTATATATATTATTATATAATGAGTATTATAGTAACTGTAGTTATAAGAATTTAAAGTTAATACAAAATCATGAAAACTGGCTCATATGGGTCCTTTATTATTATTATTATTATTATCAGTTTTATCAACTTCATGTATTTTTTCACATAAACACTATATTTTTATCACATAATTTCTGACATATCTGATATGTGATAGGAACTTGGGTTATATTAAAATTTATTATTGTTTCTGTTGGTTTATTTTTTCTAAGATGAATAAAACACTTTATACATCTGTACATAAAATACCATCTTACTCAAACATTGTAGTGTTATATTTTTGAGAGTAGAGAAAAAGTTCCATTTTCTCCTACTCAAATCTCTGAAGATCAAATTTCACAATTTGTATCTGAAAGTTATAATTACCCTTTCTCTTATCTGCTTAGTTCTGACCCCATAAATAATAGGGTTGAGAGCAGGTGGGATGACAACATAAAGGTTGGCCAAAAGAATGTGGATGTATTGAGGAACATTTTGGCCAAATCGGTGAGTCATGAAGGAGAAAAATGCTGGAGTGTAGAAGGCCAACATGACACACACATGTGAGCCACAAGTACTGAGTGCCTTCAGTCGAGCATCCTGGGAAGGTAGGTGGAAGACAGCAAGGAGGATGTAGACATAGGAGATGACAATGGCTATGATGTCCAATACCAAGATGGAGATGGCACATAAGCCAAAGATGCTATTGACCTTTATGCTGGCACAGGACAGGCGAGCAATACCCATGTGCTCACAGTATGTGTGGGAGATGATTCGGTGTCCACAGAATGGTAATCTTAGGATGAGCAAAACAAAGGAGATTGCAAAGGCTAGGGATCTCAGGAGGATGATTGATGCTATAGCTGATACCACCTTATTTGTCAGCACCAATGTGTAGTGAAGAGGGTTACAGATGGCCACATAGCGATCATAGGCCATGGCCAGAAGCACAGCAGACTCCATGCCGGTGCACAGGTGAATGAAGAACATCTGGATGAGGCAGCCTTCAAAGGTGATTTCTCTCAGGTTGAACCAGAATATTCCAAGCATCTTGGGAACAGTGGATGTGGACAGGCCCAGGTCAACAGATGACAGAATAGCCAGGAAGTAGAACATGGGATGATGGAGACTGTGTTCAGTCTGAATCACAGAAAGAATTGCAATATTTCCCAGTAGAGCGGTCAAATACACAACACAAAATGGAAAACCAATCCACATGTGCATATATTCTAGCCCTGGAATTCCCAGCAGGGCAAAAAAGTTGGGATGGAACTGTGTGTCATTAGGAGGCACCATGATTCTGTGGTACTTTAACAGCCACACATATCATAGAACAGATGTCTCCTTCCCTGAGAGACTCCAGCTTTTCTTGTCCAGTGTTACTGATTTCCTACAGAATGATACAAAAATATGTTCAATCTTTTCTAATCACCAAGCCCATCATGAAATATGTGTGGCTTTTTTGAAAGTGAAGTACATACTGTTTTTATTTTATTTCAATCAAGCTAATCATATTTATTAATTTGGTTCACTTTTATCATAGTTATCAGAGGATCAGGCAGATGGCTAGGTAACTGGTATACAGAGATGAATCATACATTATTACTCTTCTAAAGAAGAGTACCCATAGACACACACACACTTGTAAGAAAGTTATGTTACAGTTTAGTAATTAAAATAATAAAACGCATGTTTTCTCTGGGATTTTAACAAGTGCATTTGCTTTTCTAGCTTGGGCAACAGCTACATCATAGTCAATTTCTATAGCCTGTGGAGGTAGAATTTACACAAAACCCTTTTAAAATTATCAAACCTAGTAGGAAAAGCCAATATTTCAACTCCTGTACCTTTTATATCAGAAACATCATTGCAATTAAGGTAGACTGTATGAAATGAATAAAATTCCAACTTATGGTGGATTTAATTGATATACTTGAGATGGTCCCACCATTAGATTTTACAATTGATTGTTGAGAACAGCAGAAGAGACAATTTTGAAATTGTAAGGGTTTGGTTCATAACAGGAGTAGCAGTCAAAGACTGACTGAGTTACAATGCAAAGAACTTAAATTTGAATAGTTTATATAGTGTTAAGCTTTCATCATGATACTGTGGTAAGAGATAATGTCAATACTTGTGTAGAAAGATTCAGAACAGTAATAGTGCCATCCTGAGTTGCATTAAAATAAAGTGAATCTAATATCTATGCATCATTACAATTGTTTCTATTTCACATCCTATGACAAGAAGTTCTGACTCAACATTTTTGATTGGCTTCAACTGCTATTCATACCCACTCCTTTTTGGTTTTCTCCCCACTCTTAGATCTTCAGTCTACTACCATATAACTCCCCCTGATTTGCTTTATTAAACTCTGTTGGAACTCTATGTCAGACCACCCCTCACATTTTTCCAGCCTTCTCAAGGTTTTTCCTGTCACTCCTGTTCTTAGGTCACATCAAGTTTTGTGGCCCTTGGTTCATTCCTTTTCTTTCAAATTATTTATTCCCTAATACTTTTTCAGCTTTCTAAACTAGATCTCTTCCCATCTCTCTGCATTCTCTTTCATTGATTCTATAGTCTCTTCATTCATGTCAATCCATCTGCACAAAAATCAGCCTTGAAACTCTGCAACAGCTCTTCTTCCAGTTGCTGTGGTTGCTGAGGATTATTATTAACATAAATTACAGAATCATGCCTCTGGAAGCCTCTTCAGGCAAGCCATCCAAGTGCGTGGAGATCCTTCCTGTGTCTGTAGTTAGTGCCCTTTCACATTTGCTTTGGGAACTATGTCAAACCTGTAATTTTCTCACACTGCCTCTTATTTTTACATGTATGCTCTAAGTGTCCCTGGAAATTAAGATGACCATGCAAGAAATACTTTCATCCTTTTTACTTTTCCCTTACTTAGTTCTATAAGCAATTTGATTCCAGCCTGATGTGATTTCCACCTCTGCTTTGGATATGATCTCTTCTCAAGTCTGCGTATACCACTCTTATCATCTCCCTCTCTTCCCATCCCATTCTCTAGCTCATATCTTCACCAGAAATGTGATAAATTTTTGGTCACTGGAGAGGGAAGGGCCAGAAAGCAAAGGCCCACCGCTGAGAAGGTAGACCGACTGATTTTTTGGATCACATGACAAATTTTCACAGTGACTTTTCACTATTTTTTCCATCCTTTTCCCTCCCCTATAATGCCCATACTCTACCTCATTCTTCTATGTCAGATTCTGACCACCCTTCAAAAATACCCTTTACATTTCATGAATGTGTAACATTATCCTTTTTCTTGTATTTTCTAGCAAATATTTACTTGGCACTGTGCATAGAAATAGAAAAAAAGAGACTTCACAGATTTTATTGCATGCTTCATATTTGGCTGCACTCTAGCAGGAAGTTTTGTATACAACTGAACTGTTCTTCAAACATATCACAAGTTAATACAGTGAGGGAGTAAACTGAAGCTCTTCCATCATTTCTATAAATACACTGAAAAAAGGATTACACAGCAGGGATTTTCAATCCTGACTTTACCTAATAACCTGTAGAGTCGTAGATAAAAATAAAGATTCTAATTCCTGATTCTGGTAACTCTGAATGATTAAGTTTGTGATAGATCTCATGATTTCTATGAAGCATCCCAAGTTAATCTGATTCAATTTATCTGACATGGGAACTACTGCAGGATAAGATAATGTATATGAGCAATCACAATGAGTTGGAATGTATTAAAAACATAGGGTGAATTAAATAAAATAATGTGTGATTCAATATCTCATATCATGGCTTTAATGCCCTTTTTTATAATTTGAATCCTCAAAATAAAATGTGGGCACTGATTCCATCCTGTACTGTAGTAGTTATTCTCAGGTTTTATAGTGTTTTATCCCTTCCATCAACTGTAGTTATTTGTGGGAAAGCTTTTGCTTTGCTACATACATATCTTCCAAGCACCTTTTTTTTAAAAAGTACATATTAGCAACTCTCAAAAGAAGTATGTCAAGGTAGAATGATTGGTATTTGGTAAATACCCTCTTCCTCCTCCTCAATTGTTACTAAAGTTATTCTGAGGATTTTCCTGTGCCCATGGTCCCCTGTAAGATAGGAAAGGAGAAGAAAAACAAGGAGAATTGACCCACATAAGACATTTTCTGTCTTTGGAGACTCCAGAAGTTCAGAGATTCTTGGAACCCTACTTATTTTCCAATTCTCATGCAGAAGGCTTCCACGATTTTCACAATTATTGTGTAAAACTACCAGATGATATAAGAAGAAATATTTTGTTTCGTTGACCCTATTCATAGGAAGAATAGTAAGTTAGTTAGGTAGATAGTCTTTTCAGTTGACTAGGTTGTGATGGTTTGGGAGACAAGGAGGAAAAAAACATATTTGCAAAGAAGAAATGATGATTAATAGCAATGGTATACACCCAATGACAGTAATTTGGAGGCAGAAATATATAAAAGACTTTCTGTGACTGAAACTTGAACTCAAGTAGCCAAAACTGACTTTGTGATATGTAAACAATGGATTGAGTTGAAACTAAAAAAATTGTTTAAATAATAATTATTTTTCTTTCAAGCTGTCTGGCAATAAATATTCTGTAGACCTCACTTCTTTAAAAACACATTCTCCATATATAATACTGAAATAAGAATACAAATCTTACAAATTTTACTCAGAAGTTATAAACAAATGTGGATAATATATCATTAGCAGGCCAGCATAAATTAGGAAAGTCTAATAATATAAGAAGTGCCAAATTATTTGATTTTTTTCTATTTATTAGTGTCACATTGCCATTGCAGTGTATGTGTTAACTTCCAATTAGGAAAAAAAATTAAAGTTTATAGAAATGAAATTTAGATAAGATTATTGCTTAAAGATCCTGGCTATATATAGATCTAGACATGTTTGGAAAACTTTGGAATTGATTTTGTGAATGATTAGTAAAGCCTTTTAAAAAGGGTTTTTACAATAGCTTTGGAAATTTAAGGATTCCTGATTTGGCATTTACCGCCATATTATATGAAAGTATGAATTGTGGAGTACTTATCTTGAGAGCTGAATGACGGACAGAGTGATACCCAAAGTTGGGAAAAGTTCTGCAGGATAATTAAAGGATGGTGACAGGGGAAGACAAGGAAAACAAGACTGAAGGTTAACATAGAACCACAATTTGAATGACAAAGACTTAAAGAAAGACAGATACAAAAAGTTAAAAATGTATTTGTATCTGTGCACACCCACAGGTACCTCTAATCCAAATATTTAAGATTCAATATGATCTTTTGGTGTACACTCCTGAGTCTATGTAAATTATTATCTTGTTACTCTCTGGGCTCACTGATACCTTCCATATTCAACTAGCTTCCTTTTTTCTTCATTCCTTTCATCTAATTTATCTTTTTAACTTAAATTTCAATGAATCAGCCACAGTAAATGGTTCCTGTCTTAAGGGATCATTTCTGGGCCCAAGGCCAGACTTACCAACAAAAACGTTCTGAGTCAGCTGGCTTCACCTGCCGCAGCTTGTTTGCACGTTCACCCCCTCTGACTGACAGGGGGGATTTATGCTGTAAACACTGCCCGTAAAATGGAGTGTCTCCAAACCACAGTACTCTCTAGAGAACAGAAGTGTCCAGAGGCACTGAGATAGATGATTAATAAGTAGGAAGCATAATATCATTGGTCATAAAAAAACAAAACGTCTTACGCTGAGTGCTGATTCCCGAGCTTGGGATGACTCACGGTTAACTGGTTCATCTCTAGGCAGCAGAGGATGTGAGGAGGGCTTATGTCCTGCTTTCTTTTCAAGATCCCTCTAGTTCTGGATTCCCTTCCATGGGCCCCATGTACATATCTAGGTCACAGAAAATCTAGGGTGATTTTATATAGTGGTTTGGCAAGTCATTCTGGCTTTTATTTTTTTCATTACCATGTTCTTTACCTTGCTCTTATGTGGTCAATTTCTCCAAAACTTACCTACCTACCTCCCCTCTCCCACCCCAGTCCTAACACAATTTAACTTTAAATACTATCATGAAAAAATGAAGCCCAGCTAGTACCCATCATTTCATGGAATGGAGTATTCATTAGAACTTAGGTGGCAGAGATAATTTAATAAAACAAAGACCAAGTGTTTTGAACACAAATCATCTCTACTTCCTGGTTCTCATTAACAATAAAACAAGACAGGGTTTAAGTTACTGGGAAAGAGAAAGAGGTCTAGGGAAAGAAATATGAAATACGGGAGATGAGCTAAGTGGATGGACTTTGAGACACACTGCACA